TTTAAAATATTCTATAAAGGAGCACTCATCTATTTCTATCACTTTGACTATTCTAGGTACTTCCTTTAAGTGCAGTCCTAGTACCTTTCTTTTTGTGAATGGTTTGTTCTACCTCATGTCCTCAACATTTATCCATATTTAGCACTTGACAGAGTTTTCTTCCTTTTTAGCCTGTTCCATCATGTGTGTTTGTTCATCCATTAATGGGCACTTGGAGTTCTTTCATCTTATGGTGATTGCAGACAGTCCTAATTGGAATCTGAACTTGTCTCTTCAAGATTCTGCTTTCTGGGGCTTGAGGGATAGTATAGAGTACAGGGCATTTGCCTGGCACAAAGCTAACCAGCTTTCAATCCCCAACATCCCACATGGTCCCCCGGAGCCCAGATCCAGGAGTGAGCACTGAACATCACTGGGTGTGGCCCCAAAACCAACCAACCAAACGCAACAATAAAAACTCAGCTTTCTTTTGAGTCTACGTGGAACTGAGATTCCTAATCCTGTAAGCAATTTTATTTTGAAACATGTATAAGGATTCCATTTTCCCCATATTCTCCCCAAAATGTATTTTTGTTTTGTTTTGTTTTATAGATCCCTTCACTTGGTATAAGACAATACCTTATTGTGGTTTTAATTTAAATTTCTCTGATTTTTAGTGATGTCTTATTGGCCATCTGTATTTCATATTGGGAGAATGTTTCTTAAAGAGAGTTTGACATTTTTTTAAATCAGACTATTTGATTTTTTGGTTATTGATTTGTAGGTGTTCTTTACAGGATCTTACCCGCTTATCACATACATGATTTACAGTTTTTTTTTCTCATTCTTTGTTTCCTTTTTGCATTTTTTTCTTTAATAGTGTTTAATGTAGTCCCATTTGTTAATTTTAACTTTTGCTACTTGCTGTCATAATCAAGAAATCTTTGCCAGGTCCAATGTCACACGATCTTTACCTTTTGTTTTCTTCTAGTGTATATCATTTTACATCCCACGTTTAGGTATTTAATCTATTTGATACAGTTTTGGTATGATGTTAGATGAGTTCCAATCCCATTCTATTTCATGTAGTTAGTCAATTTCCACCACACCATTTGTTAAAGAAACTTTGCTTTCTCTGCTGTGTGATTTGGTACCTTTTCTGAAGATGATTGGCTCATATACCACAACTTATTTCTGAAATCTTTGTGTTGTTTTAACACTTCATCAGTAGATTTTATCTTTGTGCCAGTACTAGACTTTTGATTGCTGGAGCTTTGTGACATTTTTTAAAATCAGTAGATGTGAACCTTCCAATTTTGTTTTTCTTTTTCAGAATTGTTCTGCCTTTTCGGGGTCCCTTGAGATTCTATACGAATTTAGGATTTTTTTTATTGTTTCTTATAAAAAGGAAATTACAAGAAAAACAAAATTATTTTGTTGTTGTGGAAAAAAAAGTTGTTGATTCTGGTAGGGCATGTATTGCTTTGGCATTATATTGAAAATAGTATGACTTCCAAAAATTTTCTCACAGGAAATTTATTGAAATAATCTTGGCAAACCAAAATGCCTCGAGCCAGAGAGATCATGGAGGCAATGCTTTGCCTGGGTTCAATTCCCAGCACCTCGTGATCCTTCCAACACCCCACTCACATACCCCTAATACAGACAGACGATGGGAACACAGACACACACACACAACTAATCCAGGCAGACGGAGGAGGGGACACACACACACACACACACACACACACACACACACTGAACTAAGCCATGACCCCTAACTAAGGAATGACCCCTGGGCACTGTTGGGTATGGCCACAAATCTGAAAACGGCATGACGAGTGACTCCCCAAAAGGTATCTAGAAGATCAGACTGTTTTTCACACATTATTTTTTGTACTCTTGTTCCTGTACCTTGATTCTGTTGTAGGAAAGACTAACCTCCACGAACCTGTTTCATTTTTCTAATTGTATAAATTTTCCTTTTTTAAAATAAATTTATATTTTTTGTTGCTCTTTGTTTTGGGGTCACACCCAGCAGTGCTCAGAGGTCACTCTTGACTCTGCACTCAGGAATTACAACTGGTGGTACTTGGAGGACCATATGGGATGCCAGGGTTTGAACCCAGGTCAGCCATGTGCAAGGCAAGCGCTGCTACCGCTTCAGGCCCAATTTACCTTTTTTTTCAGTCACTGTGAAATTGCAAAGTTAGTTATGAGTTTTCAGGCGTTCTGTGTTCCAGCACCAATCCCAGTTCCTTCAGGTGTCCTTTTCCGTCCCACCCCATTTGCCTTTCCACCAGTCCTATGAGAGGCTGTGTGTGTGTGTGTGTGTGTGTGTGTGTGTATGTGTGTGTATGTGTGTGTTTGCACCATGGTTTACAGTACTGTTACTTACAGAATTTTGTTACATAACACTTTACTACATTTCAACACCACCTCCTCCTCCCAGTTGAATGCTTTCCTCCACCATTGGCCTTGCCCCTTTCCTTGTCCTATCTCCTAACCCCCTCAAATATGGCATATTTCCTACTGAATACCAGTTTCTGTGTTCTTCATTTCCATTGCCTTGGGGTATTTGTTATTCCACTATTATGTTTCTTTAAATCCTGAATATGAGAGACATCATTCTGTGTTGGTTTCTCTCCTTCTGTCTAACTTCACTCCACATGATTTTCTCTGGATCCCTCCATGTAGCAGCAGATTTGATGACTTTATCCTTTCTTATGGTTGAATAATAGTCCGTTGTGTATATGTACTGTAGTTTCTTTATCTAACCATCTGTTCTTAGACACTTGGGTTGTTGTTTTTTTTCCCCCAGATTTGGGCTATTGTGGATAGTGCTGCAAGGAACATACGGGAGCTAATGTCTTTCCTCCATTTTGTTTTATGGCCCTTTGGGTACATTCCAAAAAGTGGAGTTGCTGGGTCAAGTGGAAGCTCAATTCCTTAGATTTTTTTTTAGGAATGTCCATATTGTTTTCCAGAAAGGCTGGACTGGTCGATATTCCCCCAACAGTGGATGAGAGTATCTTTCTCCCAGCATTCATGATAGCACTGGTTCTTGTTTTGATGTGTGCCAATTTCCGGTGTGAGATGATACCTCATTGTTTTGATTTGCATCTTCCTGATGATTAGTGATGCCGAGCATTTTTCATGTGCTTTTTGGCCATTTGTATTTCTTCTCTGAGGAAGTTTCTGTTTATCTCTTTCTCCCCATTTTTTGATGGGCTTGGATGTTTTGTTTTTGTGAAGTTCTGCTAGTGCCTTATATATCTTTGATATTAACTCCTTATCAGATGAGCATTGCGTAAATCCTTTCTCCCCATTCCAGGGGGAGAAATGATTTACTGTCTCTGTATCCTGGTCATCATTTCCTTTGAGGCGCAAAATTAAATTCTTAATTTAATATAGTCCCATTTGTTTATCTTTGTTTCCACTTGCTTGGTCAGTGGTGGTTCATCTTTGAAGACGCCTTTAGCCTCAGTGCCATGAACTTGTTTTAGATCTAGAATTGCTTCCCACGGATACTATTTCTAGATTCTCTTCTCTGCTCTCCATCTCCCTAGTACCATCCGTCTTTGCCTTCCTGATCTTAGACGTGTATGTGTGCTCCTATGTCACATACTCTAGGGGAAAGCAGGTGAAACCTCTCCTGCAGCCCCTGCACTGTGCTCTCCTGTGGAGTCACCATCTCTGTCCCCTCACTCTCACTGCTGGGAGCCTGTCAGGAGACAGACCAGGGCCCGTGACACACCGTGGTGACAGACAGGCCACCCTAGAGGTGACAGAAGGTTTCCAGGAGCAAGGCCAGCAAGTAGATGTGGGTGGTCCAGTGTTTTCTGAAGTCAGTGTGGAAAATTCACCAGCAGGACTATCTTCGGGTCCACCTCTTGGGTTTTTCATCTCTGGAATCTAGCTCCTAATGCTCCAGACAGTGGCAGTTCCTGGATAGGAAAGCCAGGTCCGGCGTGCCAGGAAGGTTCCTGCCTGGAGAAGGTTTGTGTCTTCAGCCATGTGTCTGGTTCCCTTCCGTCGATGTGTTGTCAGCAGTCCTCACATCCTTTTTCCCTTGGGGTCAGGTGAGGTAGCTGGCATAGATGTAACTGGAGAAATAGCTCCTCCCATACATGTGTACCCACCACTGTCCCTTCACAGGAGCTGTGACCCAACGAACTCCTCTGTTATGTGGGGCAGGTGATACCTGGGCCTGGGGAATTGGGGTGTGAGTGGTGAGTGGTGTTCAAGTTATCCTGTGCCCCAAAGTGCTGTGTGGACTGTCCTTTGCCATCCATGACTTTAAAGTCAGTGATCATTTTGTGTGTATGGAATTTAAAAAAAAATAGAGACTTGTTTTTTTCTCAGACTTTTGTAACTTTGCTTTTATGTCAGATTTGTTTTACAAATGAATACCCTTGTTTACTTTAGCCAGTCATGCTTAATTCTGTCTGAAAAAAATCAGTCTTCCTTCTGGTTTGATTGCTTTATCTGGGATGGATCATTTCAGAAAACACTCAGCTTAGGGCTGGAGTGATAGCACAGCGGTAGGGCGTTCGCCTTACAAGCGGCCAACATGGCCGACCCGAGTTCGATTCCTCCGCCCCTCTAGGAGAGCCCGGCAAGCTACCGAGAGTATTCGATATGCCAAACACAGTAACAACAAAGTCTCCAATGGAGACATTACTGGGCCCGCTCAAGCAAATCGATGATCAACGGGAGGGCCTTTACCTTTACCTTTACCTTTACCTCAGCTTAGTAATCAGCCTCACTCCAATTAGAGGTGAGCAGTCCTTGATAACCAGCCCAGTATATGTTTTTTGTTCCAGCTAATTAGACTTTGTATTTTTTGTTTAAAGTTCTCCTAGTTTTAAATGTAAGTTAATTTTTATGAAGAATAATACAATAACAACTATAGTATCAATAAAAGATACAGGAACATCTTTTTTTTATTATTATTTTATCTCCTTCTTAGGAGTTTAGTATTTCTTGGAAATGACATTGTTGCTTTTTGCCTCCCTCAGTTGACCAGATCTACCATCTGGCCTCTCCCGCCTCTCCTCCGAACTATATGTACAACCCTATCAAGACGCTGAAGACCAATACAATTGGGACATTAAACATGCTGGGTAAGTTGTCCTTTCCTCCTGGTGGGGAGATTCTAGGCCACTCCATGCATAGGCAAAACTGTCTGTTACAACTTGTTTTATTTGCTTTTGTTTTTTTGTTTTGTTTTGTTTTTGTTTTTTGCTTTTTGGGTTACACTCAGCAATGCACAGGGATTACTCCTGGCTCATGCACTCAGGAGTTACTCCTGGCTGTGCTCAGGGAACCATGTGGGATGCTGGGAATCGAACCTGGATTGACCACGTACAAGGCAAACACCCTTCCTGCTGTGCTATTGCTCCAGCCCGTTTCACTTATTTGATCTTGGTCTTTATCCCCCTCTTTTCTGCCTCACTCTTACTGTTCAGTATGATTTGATTGGCCTTCAAGAGTGTCCTGGAGCAAATAACCATTGGAGCTGGTATGATCTTAGTTAAGTTGTGTGGAGTGACTGACAACCATTTTTTCCAGGAGACTGTCTGGACTTTCTCCACCTCCCCTCTGCTACTGGGCCAGCGTGTCCCCATGCTGGAAAGAGGTTCTATGTCAGATGCAGCAGTGGGTTGGTGTGGATCACCCAGGGAGTTTCAGTGTTGCTCCTGGAAGCATCTCCTGGAATCAATGTGGGAGGAACTCTTCTTGGTGGGGCTGTTGGGTTGTCAGTCCTGGGGTCTAGCTGTTCCTACTACACTGTTCCTCTTAGAAGTGAAAGATGAAGGAGGAGCAGCAGGGATATGCAACAGGAATATGCCAACTCATGTCTTTTTGCAAACGTACCTTCAGTGTGATGCCGGGGATAGTGCACACAGATCAGTGCTTGAAAATGAGATCCCTGCTGAAGTCTGGCCCGGGCTTAAGGAGCAAGGGTGTTGATGAGCTGCACGGTGGAAGAAAGGAACCAGCTTTGAAATTGTCTTGTGAAGCTGGGTTTAATCATCAGAACACAAAATTAGATTTTCCAGATGGATTTGGGAAATCTTGCACTAAATTTGAATGGAAAGGGCAGTTGGAGGTTGGACGTTTCAAGTCTCTCAGACTAAACATTTTGGGGGCCTCAAGTTCTGCAGGAAAAAATATGATTCATTTGATGCACATAGCGCCTTTGTCCTCGTCCCCGTCTAGAGCTGTGCTTCTAGGGGGCTATATGCGATAGAGGCACCTTCCCATCTAGACTCGGACCTTCATCCCCTCACATTACCCTTTGTACCTGCACCCTAACTTGGCGAGGAAAAAACCTGAGCTCGGACTGTTGGAAAGAACATGCTTGCTCCTGATGTTTTTGCAGCCATTGAGGAAGGGCCTTCGATGAGGACTGCTCTGACATGCTGTAACCAGAGAACTTAGTGTCCCTTAAGGGAGACGTTGTCCGGGCACCAACACTGGGGAGTCCAAGAGGGAAGGGAAGGGCCTGAGAGAGGTGGCAGCGATGCAATGATTCATAGTTGGCAGAGGTGGCTTGGGCTTAGTTTGAACCGTGAGTGAGATTGCACCTGTAGATTACAATGGAAGGAGAAAGTGCCTTGCACTGTGGATTGTGATGGAAAGGGAAAGGGCCTTTGGGTGATGACAGTGGGCAAGCACTGGAGGGGACACTTGCCAGACCTACATTGAAAGTGGCCTTTGGAGACAGGTGGAACCATCTGTGGCAGTGTCGTCTGGCTTTCCCATGCCACAGCCCGTGAGTCCTGCATCTGTCTTCTCCAAACCTCTGCTACATTCAGCTATCCAGAAGAGACCCTAGCTTCATTGTGGAAGGGATTCTAGCAGTGACAGCCACTTCCTGTCTCTGCCCTTTGCACGCACCACTCCCGTGTGGTGATAACATGCTGCAGCTTTTTTCCTGGGAAGCTGGGTGGTGCGAATGTAGGTTCTCTGTGTTCTTAAGTCTTCCTGCAAACAAATCACGGCCTCAAAGTTAAGACTTTCCTCTAAGGCGTCTCAAGGGTCCCTTCCCAGGAGCCACTGCAGCATTGCGTCTGTGTGGCATTTGGTATGATGGGCACCCACCTGCCTTGCCTGTGCTGGGGGTGGCTTGAGAGGAGGAGCTGGTGTCCTGCAGACCCCATATTGCACTGTGTCCCCCCTCCATTATCCACCCAGGAAGTTGGTGGCTTTGGCACAGGTTTTCTCCAGGTCCTTTGCTGAGTGGCTGCCACTGTGCACTCCAGCCTCCATCCTCCCTCATCACCAGCTCCTGACTCTCAAAGCCTGGGTCCCCACCCTCTTAGGATCCCCCCTGCCTGCTGTTTCTTGGGCCATCGTTGACCTTTTGTGGAGCTTCTCAAAGCCTCTGTTAAGCGTTTGTACTGTGAATCTCTGGGACAGTGTCTGAATCCATCAGCTGCCTGTGTCCTAGTTCATTGTGTATGTGATGAGAAATGAGATCAGGAGTTGAGAGCGGGATGGTGCATTGAAGCGTGGTTCTCGGGGGAAATTTCAGTTCCTGTTGAACATGGAAGGAGGAGGCAAGGTGGTTCCCATACACTCTTCAGCCCCACATAGCCGGATGTTGCCAGCAAGCATGTGGAAGAGGTGGCAGGCAGGTGGGCTAGAGGAACAGTGGAAATTAGGGTGTGTGAAGATCCTTGTCTTCCGCCTACCAGATGGAGTTACCTGATAAGATACTGAGTGACATGTTGGGATAAAGTACTTTTTAGGAAGCATTTCAGACTACAGCGTTATCAAACCAACAGGTTCTACATTATTGAATTCTCTGACTGAATCCTGTGCTTCTGAGTCTTCTCTTGTGTTTCTACTGCTTCTGCCTTCCCTTCTGTTTCCAAAGCAGCTGCAGTAGAATTACTCTTGGAAAATACAGGACTGACTTAATTCCCTTGTTTCTGACACTGGATATATGACTGTAAGTGTGTGTGTGTGTGTGTGTGTGTGTGTGTGTGTGTGTGTGTGTGTGTGTGTGTACTTTGCAGGCTCCCCTGAAGTATATGTTTTTAATCATATCTGTGCTTCCTCTAGGACTAGCCAAACGTGTTGGAGCCCGTCTTCTCCTGGCTTCTACTTCGGAAGTGTATGGAGGTGAGTAGTGAGGTCCAGCCATGCAGTGGGCAGTGTGACCCCCGTGGCAGGTTAGAAGTGTAGCAGAAAGGTGCCCATGAATCCTCAGAAGCCTCTGCCTGAACTTTTATAAAAGTCAGTATCACATTTCTTTGTAATTATAGGCTTCAGTTACATATCATCAAAACCTAATTTTCATGCTCAAAATTTCATTTGAGTATCAATTTTATTCGCATTTTCTATTCCCATTTGTTGCTTGAATCATATTATTTCATACATTTATAAACTGTTCAAAAACTGTCATCATCCTGTCTTTGTAGATTCTGTATCAATACTAAAATTCACTAATTTTTTAAAAAAAATATATGTCAAAATATGTATAGTCACAAGTATACATAAAATTAGTATCGTAAAATTAATAGTTAAAATTATCTTTCATGTTATTTAGCAATTAATCATTATCTCATAAAATGCTGGGTTTAACCTGTAGGGAGCTAGTATTTTCCTTCAAGAAGAATGTGTTATGCTAGAAATAAGTTATTCTTTTATGATAAATATCCATTGTCTTAAGTTAAAATTTAAAAAAATTTTAAATGTGCTCAGGAGCCCAGTGCTTGAAAGCCGGAGACTTCTCCCAACCACCTGCCTCCATGTGCCCTCCGAGGGTGGGGTGAGCCTGTGTTTTTCCAGCTAAGGCTCAGCTCAGGGCATTCTTAACAGGTCCCCTTGCCAGGAAGGGGACACCTACTGGTGAATTCAGCTCCAAAAGTTTATCAGAAATGAGACACTGTAAAGGGCTTCCACCAGTTAAGCTGGAGTGCCACAGGTCTTGCATGCAGCCACCAGGCACTCTGGGTCAGCCTTTAAAGCTTGCTTGGCAAAGAGCTGTACCAAGACCTTCCCTGGTAAATGACAGTTTCCGGAAAGATTTTTAACTAGGTAGTGCCACAAAACTCAGGAACCTCTCATCACCCTCAATACTCAACTTGTGAAAGATGTGAATTAGCAGAGGTGACAGTGGCTGCCTTTCAGTTCCTGAGGGTCTCTGTTCAGTGACACTCCACCTTCCTAGCCAAACCAACTGGTACAGGAATTTGAAGAACTTGCTGGTTGATGAAGCAGAAACCAGGCTCCAATTTGATGGCATTTGTTTATTTCCAATTACTGTTTGGACAGAAGAAATAAGGGTGTCTCAGGGAAAATGGAAATAAATGCCCATAAAAAATCAAAATTAAAGAGAAATTTGGTGAGATGCAGTTCTGTCGCATGTGACAGGGTCCCTTTCTTTGACACCTGGGCAGATGCAACCTCCTTCCTTCCTGTTGACCATTTGCTCTCTAGGGAACTCTGTCGCCTTCTCCATTCTTTGGCCCAATACAGGTCAGCACTCCGCACCCCTTCCTCCTTTTTTTTTTTTTTGGTGAGAAACTCTTTACGGAAAAAAATTAGTTAACTAAAAATAATTAGTTAACAAAAGTTTTTTAACGAGTTTTTTTTAACAAGTTTCACTTAGCAAAATATACCATAAGTGAGATCAGAGTACAAAGGAAGTCTTAAGTCTAGGCCTCACCAGTTACCTATAGCATTAGTATTGTGTCTTCATTTTCAAAACTATGTTTTTAAATAAAAAAGCTTAAATTTAACCTAAAAAATTTTAAATGAAAATAAACTAGAATGAATAGACATGAGAAATGTTCCTCTTTGAATTAGAGATCTGGCACCTTGAGTTTTCCAAAAATAAAACAAAAAAAGCACATTTCCCCGGTGTGTTCTTGGTGACGTGGTATAAAAGACCCACACCGAACATACTCACATAGCATCACTTTGAAGTACACTACCTAAACATTAATTGAGAAAAGCCAAACATAGTTTTAGGTTTTTTTCTGCTTGTATGTGTGGGCGGGCGGAATGGTAGCACAGTGGGTAAGGCGTTTGCCTTGCACATGGGTAACCCGGGTTCGATTCCTCTGTCCCTCTCAGAGAGTCCGGCAAGCTACCGAGAGTATCCCGCCTGCATGGCAGAGCCTGACAAGCTCCCCATGGCGTATTCCATATGCCAAAAAGTCACAAGTCTCACAATGGAGACGTTACTGCCCGCTTGAGCAAATCGATGAACAATGAGAGGACAGTGCTACAGTATGTGTGGACAGCCCAGAAACAGGCTTCTGTAAAAGTCTAGCAGATAGAAGCTTGTCAGATGTCTGAAGTATAAAGGTTCACATGTTGATTATCTTTAAGGGCTCTTCTGCTCCTTTCTGTGTTTTTTTCATGGTGATGATGGTTTTGAACTCAGGAGTTTCTGTACTGTCTCTGGCCTCCCAGTAGTTTTTCCTTATGGGTATTTTAAAACCCAGCAGCAGATTGAGAGGCCAGAATCTGCATCCTTTGACTACCCTTGTCTCCTTCTTAGTCCCTGGCAGATCCCCGTTTACTCAGGAACAGAAATAACTTGTCACCTTTCAGATAGAGCACAATGATATATGATCCCAGATAGTGTTTATATATAGCCCGATAGTAGAGCAGTTGCCTTGCAGGTGTGAGGAACTGGATTCCATCTTGAACACTAGCAAAAAAATTAAAAAATAAAAATCCTTCCCAAACCCCACCTTGTCCCCAAATTAATTTGTAACAGAATTTCTGTGCTTTGTCCTGAATTTCTTGACAAGGTTCTGTAAATTATATACATGGTTATATAAAATTCTGGATGTACCAGATAAATATTCACTCACAGGCCAGAAGTATACTTGTGTTAAGAATTTGTTACTGGATTTCTTAAAAAGCTCTGCTCTCATGGTACATTCTTGTGCATTGGTTTATACAGAGAGTAACAGGAATCAAGAAATACAAGATACCTGAAGGAACAAACAGCTGTGGGCATGGCCACACCCTTATAGCCCACACAGTTCCCATTCTCCTGCAGAGTCTCAGACTTGTTCCCTAGATATCACTTCCATCTGCATGACGTAAATGCATGCTTTATTGTTGTTACATTTTACAGATGTTTAACTTAGCCATTTATTCATGGAATATAGCATGTATAATAATTTACAAGGGAAGTTTCTGGGGAAAAGGCGATATTTAAAATTGAGAGACTGTAAGCTTTAAATTCACTGTTTTTCCCCCTTGTAAGATCTTACTGTTTATTTAATATGGGCAGTAAGAATACTCTGACCCATAAAACTAAAATCAGCTTTGGCACATTGGAGTTTTATATTTCATAGTTAACCTCTCCTGTGAGTGTCCTCCGTGGTCTGTCTGAAGTTTCCTTTTGCCTCATAGATTGTCATTGTTCATAGTGCATGAGCTCAAATAAAGGAAAAATCTAATCATGGTCTAACTCCCCCTCTCTGCCCCCCAATTCCTGCCAGATCCTGAAGTCCACCCACAAAGTGAGGATTACTGGGGCCACGTAAATCCCATCGGACCCCGTGCCTGCTATGACGAAGGCAAACGTGTTGCAGAGACCATGTGCTATGCTTACATGAAGCAGGTATGGAGCCTGGTTCTGGGGATCTGGGAGATTGGGAGATACATCTGCAGAAAACCTCTTCCAGCAGTGGCACAGAACACCCAAGGAATGCATTGGCCCTCGGGAGGCGGGGAGGAGAGTGAATGCTGTTTTCTGTTACTATAGATGATTGTGCTCTCAACAGTTTTCCCCCCAGCCCATGTTTAAAACATGATATGCGGGACTGAAGCGATAGCACAGCGGGTAGGGCATTTGCCTTGTCCATGGCCGACCCGGGTTCGATTCCCAGAATCCCATATGGTCCCCTGAGCACTGCCAGGAATAATTCCTGAGTGCAGAGCCAGGAGGAACCCCTGTGCATCGCCGGGTATGACCCAAAAAGCAAAAAAATAAATAAATAAAAATAAGAGATGACATGGGTGTTCAAGTCTCTGCAGTGGAGCTCTGAGCAGTGGTCTCTAGGGCTTTGGGCTGTAGCTACTGTGTAGGGGTAAAAATGATTATTGCTCCAATTTGAACCCCCCCTTAAGAATTGTTATTTTACTGTTTTGTGGTTTTGGGTTTTGGTTTTGCTTTGAGGCCCACGCCTGGCTGTGCTCAGATCTTCTCTGGCTCTTCTAAGGAATCATTCCTGGCAGGAGTCGGGATCATATGGGAGAGTCGGGATCATATGGGATGCCACATGCCAGGCAAGCCCCCAGGAATTGTTACTTTATTAAGTAGTCCTTGATTCTTCATGCTGTGCTGAGTGCTCTTTCCCAGGTAGGTTGGATACTAGAGAATGAAGAGGCCTGTGTGGAAGTGCAAGAGCCTGTTGATTAGTTGATGGTTAATATTCCAGTTGCTCACTCACGTGCTGATGTGCGGAGTGTACAGCCCCCCTAATTGCATGAGGCCTGTCCCAGTGCTCTGTCCTGGCCTTCCTGGAAGACATGGAGTGCTTATGTAGAATCCCAGAGGGCCCGACCAGACTCCACAGACTAGTTCACAGACTCCAGGCTCATTCACCTGTTCTTCAGTGACTCTTATTATGCTCCCAGAGGTCCTTATGGACATGGCTTTGTTGGAGTGGGGCATGGAGTAGGGATAGGAGTTTCTGGGAACAAGCTGACAGTCTGGTGACCGTGTCTAGGACTCAGAGACTCACGGGTCCCCATCCCTAGAACAGCCTTCAGGTGGGCTGGAAGCTCTAGGGGCTGCAAGGATGTGGTCAGGGGCTTATACTGAGTCTACAGTGGGCAGTCAGCTGAGCATGATTTTAAAAAAATTTTTTTTCGGGAAAGAAGTTATCAGAAACTTTGCTCCTTATTAGATTCCTAATGAAATAACAGCATTAAGCGCCCACAAAATAACCTTGTATTGACAGAGGTTGTGTGTCTTTCTCATTTAGAAACAGCTCATTGCCATTCGAGTTACTTTGGGCAGTTGGTTTGCAGGATCTGTTTCTCTCATTCGAGCCCATAAAAGTAATGTGTGCAATTTGTGGTACTTAAGGAAACTTTATCATTTAGTAAATTTGATAAGTTATTACCTGTTTTCTTTTGCATTCAGCCTTGTACTGTTATTTCTTACTGTGATGCACATAGGTAAAGGGCAGATGGGATATTTTTAATTGAGCTTTCCGGTTTTATTGAGTACAAGTATATGTGTGAAGGTATAAGATTCTTATAAGTGTTGTATTTAGGTATGACCAGCACATATGACAGAGCATGGACTGTATGCCAGGAACTGTTCCGTGTGTGGGGCACTGGGCTGAGAATTCCTCACATTCTCACACTGGTTGTCCACACATGCCATGTGACTTTGGGCACTCAGCAAAGTAGCACCTCGGACCTACAGTCCTGTGGACCCAAAAGTTTCTGGAGAGTGATGCCAGGGTGGTGTCAACTGTACAGGAGAGCTCTGAGGTGCCCTCTGCCCCTCGTACAGACAAATGGTGTGCACCAAGCCCAGTGTGCCATGTATAGCGTTGTTCCTCATGTGGGTAATGCTTATTCTGTGGGATGGTCAGTGTGTGGTTTACCTGTAGAGGGCCCCTCCCAGGGTCATTCATCAGGCAGAGGGACCCGTTGAAGTTAACGATGCGTGTAATGATGCCCTGGGTGAGACAGGCACCATGGATCTCTGTGTGAGACTGTGCACACGTCACTGGCCATTGTCCTGCAACTTGCCCTGTGGGAGGCCCTGCACTCTCTGTTGGTACTCAGGCTCTACGCAGGCTCACTGCACTGGAAGTGCCCATGGGGTACTGTCGTCACCCTGGAGTCTGGCTCTCACCTGTTTATGCTGCCTCATACTGGATCAAAACATGAGGCTATCTCTGACCCTTTGTGATGGCAAGGCGGCAGAATCAACAGAGATGTGGGCACACAGGACAAGCCATGACCTCCAGAGGCAAGGGCAATGTGGCCAGGTGTGGGGGCCTGGGAGGAGGCCATGTGGCACTGCCTAGGGTTCTGTGGAGAGTAGGAAGAAGGTGGGTCTGTGCCTCCCATCCTGCTCTCTGGTCTGTCCCTGAGTGGGGGGGACTCTTGGCTCCGTGACAGGGCCATACTGGATGTGGGATTGAACTGAACCTCCCAGGAACCAGAGTCAGGCCGGGAGGACTTGGCTGTCAGGAGAGCAGCGCTGCTGCTGACCCCTCCAGGAGTTGCTGCTATGGTGGGACGCACAGCAGGAGCTGGGCAGGATGTACCCAGCAGTACCTAGGCTTCCCCCCAGGAGTGAGTGTAGGGGGAGGTCAGTGAAAGCATCACGTACAGACAAGGAGGGGTCCTAGAGAGATGGATGCTTCTTTCACTCTGCACTTGCACTCACCTCCCAGCAGGGGGAGGCTGGGCACTTCCTGCCCATCTCTGTGGACCCTCTGTCTATGGCCACCTGGCCCAGGGTCAGGGTGGTCTGTTCATTCTCACCTTGTTCCCTTCTTTTGGCACAGATGTGGGAGCACCTCCTTTTCAGATGGAAGTGCCCCCCTTCCCCACCAACGCTGGCTTCCAGCTCACTGTGGGGCTCGAACCCAGGACCTGCCATTAGTCAGATGCACTGCCCATCTTTGGGCATCATGTGGGGGTCTGTGCAGGCAAGGAAGGGTAGTTGAGTGAGATATGGCCCAGCTTCTAAATTAGCCAGGTGGTCCTATCCTCCCTGTTCCCATTGCCTGGGAACCCCCTGTGCCCCAGGGCTGGATCAAGGAGCTGGATCAAGGAGCCTCTTTGATGACATCACCAGATCACCAGTGCTGAGTGTCCCCCTTTGGGGATAGCAGCTTGTTGGCTAAGGCTTGGAGCTTCAGGTTTTACAAGTGTGCCATGTGGGAACATGTAAAAGGAGCAATCAGAAAGAAGGGTGAGCTAGGCGAGCAGTATGCCTTTGGCCAGAGACACAGGACAGCAGGCCAGGTGCTTACCTTGTATGCAACCCACCCAGGTTTGAGCCTCAGATCCCTGTATGTTTCTCTGAGCGCAGAGTCAGGAATAAGCCAGATGTGCATGTCCCCTTCCCCTGCAAAAAATACCCAAAACAGAAAGCCTACTTTGGAATAAAGTCTATTATTTTAACAAGGTAATGATTTTGTTTTTATTTAAATAAACGGGCACATCTGCCTTAAGTATAAATTGCATTTTTAAAAGCACAATATCGTACGTTACTATTTCTTACTCTGAATATTCCTAACATATAATGATTGAGAATATAAACAAGATGGAGCTATGAATTTTCTTTTTATGCCCTAAAATATGTGTGTGTGTGTGTGTGTGTGTGTGTGTGTGTGTGTGTGCGTGCCAGAGATTTTCTCAGGTGGTTTCCCCTTTTTCTTCTCTTCTTTTTTCTCTTTTGTTATCTGTGCGGGTCACTCTCATGCCTGATAGGGGACAGGCAGTACTATGATTGTCTCACACACGCTTGGCAGATTCTGTGCCATGAGCCACACTCTGCCCCCCCCCCCCGAGTTCTTGCTAATGAATGGAATTTTCTGATGCTTTTTTAAGCAGAATTTGTTTCTTCAGGAAAATCTTCGGCACATGCACCTTTGGGGGCACATCCCCTTCTCTGAAGATTTTCCTAGAGCATTCTTGTTAGGAGTGGAATGTGGTTAAAAGTTGTCATCAAAGGGCTCAGCCATCTCTCATGAAGACTTTGAACTCCTTAAGGGGGGATCGAGTTACCACCTCTTAGTGCTCTCGATGGTTTTATGAATGTAGGAGCTTGTCTGGTGTGCTGTGATCCATGATTGGTGTACCCTCTGGTCTGTGGAACAGACTGCCATTCATAAAGCCATGGACTAGCTGAGCAGAAAAGAAAACTCAGAACTTATCTAGTCCTGTGGGTTTGAGGGTGATTGTTTGGGTCCTCTTCGGGCATCAGAAATGCTTGTGGAAAATTAGCTTAGCTGGCTTGTGTGTTCTGACTCAGTTTACGAATCAGCCTGCAGCTGAACCAAGTCTGGTGCGGGCTGTGTGAGATTTCGCATCACGGGTGAAGTCGGGCGACCTGGCTGGAATACACAGGGCTGTTGGCAAGACAGCCAGGCCGAGCCTACCAATGTCCTGTGATCTCAGGGTGTTCATCCTCCACTGTCCCCACTCAAAACTTTTCTCTCCCACACCTCCTTTTAAAAAACAAACATTTGGCTCTCTCCACCCTTGGAGAAGCCTGCATTCTCTCTGGACGCGTTACACACTCTCTCTCTCTCTCTCTCTCTCTCTCTCTCTCTCTCTCTCTCTCTCTCTCTCTCCATTCCCCGCTTATCCGCTTATCCCTTTCTCTTCCTCTCCAAAAGCCTCCAAATAAAATCTGTTACTTCAAAGAAAAAAAAACAACCATTCTCTGTTACTGTTCAGCTAGGTCAAGAACAGGTGATTTTCTTTATGGTTTAGCTAGGTCTAGGTCTAGAACGGGTGTTTATCTTTCTGTACTTAGGCTGATCCCCTCTGCTTTTACCATGACAAAGAAGTTGTCAGGGTGGAGATGGAAGGTGACTCCCACCTTCCACCCAGGACATCACTCTGTCCCTCCCACCCCCACCCCCCCTTCCCGCAGTCTCCTGGGTCAAGCAAAGCACAAACACCTCAGGCCCAATACTATCCACTGTCATGGTGCAGTGGATCAGAGCATCAGGCATGATGTAGTTCCTAAGAATGTGCTCCTGTGCTTCCCCTTTCCCAAAACAAAACGCTCTCACGCTACAATCTTTTTTTTTCTGTATCTCCTACTTAACATTCATTGGTATTTAAATCCCTATTGAGGGATAAATTTGCCCACAATATTATGTGATAAAGATAGAAAAGAGTAACCATACTGTGGTCTCGTTGTGAGTTGGATATTTGTTTGTGGGATGTGGGGTGGATTATAGAGACAGTCACGCACACACCCCATCCATCCCTCTTTAACCCAATCCCAGGATTCTGGAGGCTTTGTGAAATCTGGGACACAGCGGATTTATTTCACGTGGTACAACTGTCCCAGATTTCTCTACAGTGAACACCTGGGTTAGTCGGAACCACACTGTCACTCTTGTTCCGCACAAAGCAGCAGAGCGTGGACCCTGGCCAGACATTAGCAGGAGCCACCAAGTGAAATCCCTCTCCCCTCCTCTTCCCCACTGCAGGAAGGCGTGGAGGTGAGAGTGGCACGGATCTTCAACACCTTTGGGCCTCGCATGCACATGAACGACGGACGCGTCGTCAGCAACTTCATTCTGCAGGCGCTACAGGGGGAGCCACTCACGGTGGGTATCACCTGCTGTCTAGGGACTAGCAGAACACACAGCCTGACCCGCAGATGCGGGTCCGGAGCCGCCACCGGTGTCACTGCACATCCGAGGACCAGGTCCAGTGTGGGCACTCACTGGGGAAAGGAAGGAGTGTGCAGTTCCCGGGCCCTGCTGTTCCTTAAGTCTGCGGTGACCTCAGTACCCTGGGCTGTGCCTTTGTGTTTGCTGCCCCCTTGCTGGTCTCTTCCACACCCAGTTATGGTGGGGCCTGGCATGCACCTCTTGGGCAGCCCCGAGGTAAAGGTGTGTCTGGGGTGGGTCTCAGCAGCCTTCCTTGCAGGTGGAGATGCTCCTTCTCCTGCCATGTAGTCTTGGCTGAGAATGTCTTTGTCGCTCAGTAGTGGGCCAGGGCCCGGTCACACGCAGGGTCCTTGGCTTCCCTGTGGGGGCCTGTGCAGATTGTTCACGCCTACTGCCAATCTCACTCCTCTCTCTTCTCTTTGAGGTGGGGGAGTGGGCAGTGCCCTGGGATTTCCTTGGTTTTTAGTCCGTGCTCTCCATCTTTCTTCTCTCCCTGCTTCTTTCCACTTCTTACCTCTGCTTCTTGTCAGCCTGTTTTCTCCTATGGTCCTTGAACACACTGAGTCTTGGCTCTTTAATTCAGCCACGTTCAAGTGGATGCTGCCAGTGGTCGGTGCCCACGTCAGCATGCTGGATTCAGTATTTGTGTGGGCAGAGCAGGTCAGCGCCCACTTTGACAATTCTGCAGGATGGTTTGCTTATCACCTGAATATGCTGGGGGCGGGGAGGGAACCGTAGAGCTGTAGGTGCGTACACTCTTCTGTTGTTGTTTGTTTTCAGTGTTTTGTACCACACCCAGTGATGCTCAGGGTTTATTCCTGGCTCTGTGCTCAGGGATCACACCTGGGACAATTCGGGTCCTGAGGATTGAACTCAGGTTGATCACGTGGAGGCAAGTGCTACTCTGGCCCACATATCATATTTTTTCCCTCTTTTGTCTGCTTCTCTTTGTTGTCCACAACTCACTCTCTAGGCATCTACCAATAGAGAGGTTTCACTGATTTCTTTTCTGTGACCATTGCATCTTGTACCTAATGTAGCACTCGCAACCTGTCTATGGGGCACTCATTAGCCCCATTTTCCAGATTGATTCTGTGCTCAGGAGTTACTCCTCCCGATGCTCAGGGGCCAAAGCTTGGGGTTTTGGCGAGGCCACACAGCAGTGGTCCGTATTTGAACCCAGAAACTGCTCGACAGTTCAGTGTGGTGCGTGCACAGGCTCGTGTGAAGTACACTGAGGGCAGGCGCTAATGCTGCTTTGCCACTTCCCTCTGAGCAGCGCGGTTTGCCCACAAGGGCACAGTTTCGTGGAGTGCATTTGCCCCAAGCAGCCCGGGGGTGGCCCAAATGAGGCCGGAAGCCTTCTGATTTTAAAATCCGGGCTCTCTATCCGAAAGGAAATGTTGGAGGAAATCATACTCCATCTCTTGGCTGAAGCCCGCATTTTATTTGTTCTTTAGTCCACCATTATAGAGTGCTAGAAGATTCCTTTGCTAGAAGACTGAGGCTCCCAGCATCACTCATGGGGGAGTCGGGGAGTGGTGGTCACAGTCCCCACACCCACATGCTACCTGGCTATGACAGTTCCCATGTCACCGTATCTGTTGGCCCTTCCCAGCTGGATCCCTGAGGCAGGTTCAGCTTCTCAATCTGCAGCACCTTTTCTGGACTTAGTCTAGAACTCTGAATTTTTTTTTTTTTGAGGTTGGGGGGACTTCCCAGGCTGTGCTCAGGGGTCCTGACAGCAAGCCCAGCAGTGCTTGTCCTGCCTCTGAAGATTCTGTTCCCAGCCCTGCTGGGATCCCGTTGAGCCGGGTACTGAGCACAGGGCCTCCGTTTGTCTCTGACCTCTCTTCTGGGCCACGCCTTCCCTAACAGAACTGTGGAGTGTCTCCACCCTCCTTACTTCGCTCCTCCAGGTGGAAGTGCCTCAGGCTTCCCAGTGTCTAACTCACCTGGGTCCTGGATTGAGTTCCTACCGGCCCATTCTCAAGACACCAAAAGCTGCCTCCCTCTCGGCATTCTGTGTTGGCCCCACTCAGAGAGGGTGAGGTTGCCAGGGTCATCCTCACCGGACTGAAGACCAAACCCACCAAGCTCTGCCTTTTCTCGGTACCTCTCCTTCCTGTCCTCCTTTCTGGACCTGGAGGGATGAGCCCTGGGAGCCAGAGTAGGCTGATGTCCCTTGACTTGCCATCATGCCACCATCGTCATAGTGGGTCCTGGGAACCAGGCTCTCCCGGAGACAGAAGCCTCCTCCAGCAGGGCAGCGAGTGAGGGGGAAGGGGGGGAAGCTGGGGCTCCTTCACTCGTGGCTGTGAACTGATGGGGGCTCTTGGAGCAGCCTGGTCCTGTGGGGTTGGTGGGAAGCGCGTCCTCACAGGCTGCTCTGTGTTGCTCCCGGGCCCTGCTGGGCACTCGGCTATAGGAGGAGCAGACAAGCTGGATGCTGCCCTCCGCAAGGAGGCCACATGACACAGTGCCCAGGCAGTGCTTCCCAGTCCCAGAGGAAGGGTGGGAAGTACAGGTCTTGAGCCAGTCCCAGCTGCTGGTGGGTCAGGGTGGGGAGGACTGTAAGCACAGGTAGGCCTCAGGGCCTGCAGCAGGTCCAGATGGAGCTGTAGACCTTCACTGCCCCGCTCAGCTCCAGCCCTAGCACCCTGGGGCTTCTCCAGCCTTGAACTTCACATGAGCGTGGCCTGGAGCATCGATTGTCCGGATTGTAAGTGTCACTGGAAAGGGGCACTGAGCGTTATGGGGGACTGTCACCTCTATGCCCTTCGAGAGCCAGACTCAGACCCTCACGTGTCCAGACTCCATCTAGGTTGAGTCCTTTGAGTCTCCTCTGTGAAAGAATGTGACCCAAACACGCACGCCTGCATCTCATCCCTCTCATCAGGGAGTGTTTCAGAAGTGCCTGGTGTGACTTATATTGTCCCTGCCCAGTGGTATCAGCCCAGAAGATGATCCCTGTAAGGAGGGAACCGTTTCCAAGTCACAGGGTGGTTGATTTTTTTTTTCCCCGCCAGGTCTAATTACCTGTTTCCTCCTAGGTATATGGATCCGGGTCCCAGACAAGGGCGTTCCAGTACGTCAGGTAAGGGTGTCGCCCATCCCCGGAGCAGGCCTGGGCTGCAGTGCCAGGCTGGTGGGGAGGCAGCAGCAAACCCTCAGAACCTGTACAACATGCCACTCACCCCACAACTTAGCAGCCTGGGTTGTCTCCCCGTTGGTTAGGTCTCTTTGAAGTTCTCCAAGCTTGGCAGTGCCTCCGTGATCCCCAGGTGTTAGGTTCTTGCTGCCACCTAGTGTTTCCTGGCCAGACCTGCCTGGTTCTTTCACACCAGGCCAGTGTCAGCCTTCCCCATTCCCCAAACCAAAATCCAGCCCCACACTAAGTGGGACTTGCCAAGGTGGCAAAATTTGTCGTCATTTAAGGGTAAAAATAAGACAGAAGTATCCTAACACTGAATGTTGTATTGAAACTAAATGCTGATAAGTCAGATAACTTGGTTGGATCAACTCCCATGGTAATGATTGTTGTTTTCGTGGCCAGTCAGTTGGGTTGGTGATATAGGTGAAAATGCAGTCTGGGTCCTGAGGGATGACTTACCATGAAACCAGTTATGTACACTAAAATAGGCTCAGCTCAGGAAAGTTCCAGAGAATTCCTTGTGCTTTTCCACTGCCTTGAGTCTTTGTGAAATCCACTTCTAAGACTTGGTACCATAAAAGTACCATAAAAGTACCCTCCTTTTGATGCAGATGCCCTGAAGTGGCCTTGCTCTTCCTATAGTCGTGAGGTCATCACTGGAGCACTTGTAGGGGTGACGCGGCAATTGGAATACAGGTCTGAGTAGCCCCCTCGCCCCTTCTCAGCCAGAGCAAGTAACTAGGCTTACCTGATTATGTGAGGTTGCAGGTAGAAGTTTTTTTTGAGCAATAAGACTTCTAAGGATGGATGGGACTGGACCAATAGTACAGCTGATGGGGTGCTCGCCTTGCATGTGGCCATCCAGGGTTCAATCTCTGGCATCCCACAACAGGAGTGATCCCTGAGTACAGGGCCAGACTTAAGCCCTGAGCACCACTGTATGTGGCCCCAATCAAAAAGAAAGCAAAACTTGTAGCAAGGGTAAGGGGAGGGTGAAGGAAAGAGAAAAATAAAAAACAACTGTAGGTTTTCCTGAAAGGTTTTGTGAATTTAATGTAAAAACTGTGAATAAACCTCCGTGATGGTCAGCGTTCTCCTCTCTGTTTTCCTCCCCACTCATCTCGCCTAGCAGACCCCAAAGCCTGGGTCCTTTTGTGGCCCGAGTTTTCTAAGGAAGGTGTTAACCAGGAATTTGTAGCTACCCTCTTCCTGAACATTCATCCAGGCACATAGTACTCAGAGAAAACTCTTGTCACATTTCTGTGTGGGGACTGTATTCATTGACTCCCGTGTATTGAGTACTGTCTTCTCAGGAAGATGTGTTCTCATCACACTCTCCCTCAGCCATCTGCCTGCGCCCCGTGCACGTTCTCAAGGAAACCCTAGAATCTCCCCTTGCATCAAGTTCATGGTTCGTGAACCCCACACTTCTCCAGTGCAGAACCCATGTGAGCCATTAGTGAGACTGCAGTAAGAAGGAAATTGCTTTGACCCATCCTTTCTACTGTTCTCCTTATTTCAGTGTCATCAGATTTTTTTTAAATCACCTTATGGTTCCAGATCAATAGTATAGGAGATAGGACACTTGCCTTACATGTGGCTGACCCAGGTTCAGTCCCCAGCACCTCAAATGGTCCCCCAAGCACACCCCATGTGTTCCCGGAGCATGGAGTCAGGAGTTATCCCTGAGCAGAAAGCCAGGAGTGATCCTAAGCACAATCACATGTAGGCCCAAAAGTAAAAGTAAAAATGTTCTAAAAATCTTCTTTTAAAAATCTGCAGGTAGTGGGGCTGGAACAATAGCGCAGCGGGTAGGGCGTTTGCCTGACACGCAGCCAACCTGGGTTCGATTCCCAGCATCCCATATGATCCCCTGAGCACTGCCAGGAGTAATTCCTGAGTGCAGAGCCAGGAGAAACCCCTGTGCATTGCCTTGTGTGACCCAAAAAAAGCTAAAAAAAAAAAAATCTGCAGGTAGGGACTGGAGCGATAGTACAGCAGGTAGGGCATTTGCCTTGCATGCAGCGTATCCGGGTTCAATTCTCAGCATCCCATATGGTCCCCCGAGCAACACCAGGAGTAATTCCTGAGTGCAAAGCTAGGAGTAACCCCTGAGCATCGCCAGATGTGACCCAAAAAGAAAAAAAATAAATAAAAATCTGCAAGTAATATTGTTTGGCATTTTAAGAAGTCAGCTGGTGCCGCTGTCACATGTGTCCTCCCAGCTGCCTGGCTGCTCTGAAGCTCAGTGCCAAGGTGCAGGGGTAGGGGGTCCTGTCAGATGCTGGCGAGTGTCTGACAGAGGTGACATCAGTGGCTTCACTGGAAGTGTTGGCTGTTGCATTCATCATTTACTCCCCAGCCTTGAGGGGCTTCCCTTGAGTCAGTGGAATTAGGACCTGGGGCTGCTGTGATTTGGGGAAAGAACTTCTCTACCTTTTGATTCTTGAGCTCAGCAGAAGTGGTTAACCTACCAGGGTTTTACTCTTTCATGTAAGCTTGCTTTAGGAACTTTATTTCATCATTAAAACACACACAGTCGCACAGTCTGAATCTCTAGTCCCTGTGCTCAATCAAAAGGGTTCCCAGACCTTGACCGCCCAGAGGCAGCCTGCGTCTCAGGACTTCTGGTCTTGGTGATCATACATTGGCATCTTGGCATGACTGTCTGGTATACCTTTCCATGGTCAGGTTCTGTCCTCATCCACATAACAAAGGCATGCTCTATTTTTCTTTCAAAGTCACTTTGTCAAAATGACACTTTTGAAGAGCTTCAGGTTAAAGTAAGCGTGACCTATGCAATTTTGACCTTAAAAGTTGCCAGATTGTTTCATAAAAGATGCATTCTCTGCCCTGTCCTGCCACTTGGGGCACCTGTCTAAGAATTGTCCTCCAGCTTAACATGGACCCCTGACCTACACATACACTTGAGTATTTAAAACAATTGTGGATGCTACTTGAATGGCAGCTTTTAATGTCTTTTATGAATATGCAGAGGCTTATGCCATAAGAAAGCGTGTTGTGATGTGATCATTACTGCCATAGTGATGAAGTGACTTTATGCCAGTTTCTAGAAAGGAGAAACCATCCAAAGTCATCAGTAATTTGCCTCAGTGTTTGATTTGTGAGAGCATAATGGACTTTAGCCATGTGCATATACAGCCCTCATTTAGGCCAAACTCAGGAAATCATTTGTTTAAAATACCCCGCCCCCCAAAAAAATTTTTTCTAATGAAAAGGAAAACAAAACTAGCTTTTCTTTTGTAAGTTAACCAGTTTGACCTGCTCCTTATGGTAAATGATGGAAGAAGAGGAGGAGGGAGAGGTTTCAAAATAGATTCATTTGGATCACCAGAACAGAACTTTGAAAGTCTTCTCAGACATCGAGCCAGTGAAAATAAGCTTAGAAAAATTACTTGTGTCTAGCAGTGAGGTGTCATTTTTACGAAGTAACTTTTTTTTAACAGAGCCACACTTTAAAGCTTCTGAAACTAAGAACCAAACCTTGGTAAGCGAAAGTTTGCTTACTTCTCTTCACCTTCATGGCCGAGTCGATCACGAACCATTTGAAGCATCCAGACACCCCTGAACGTTTCATGCGAGGTGTATTGGGGACGGGTGGGGTGGTGAGCTGACGGTGGAGGGAACAGGGAGCTTTGTTCTGGTAGGTTGCAACACTCAGTATTGTTTAAATTCACCTGTGATTTGCCAGTATGAGGACTACATACTGGAGCGCTTCCATTTTCGTGGCTCTTTTATTTTAACTCATATGTATAGGCCAGTTCCCTGGGTTCACAGTGAACACAGACTTTTCATCAGAAACTTGTGAACACTCCCCATCATTCGGGAGGGGTGGGGATGTGCTTATTTTTCTTTTCTTTAATTGTTAAGAGATTTTAGATACATCAAGGAAAAAAAAAGGAAAAAAGTAGAGCAGCTTCCATCCTGTTTGATCATCTCTGCCACCACTGAGTACAAATCCCAGCCATTCTGCCATCTCATCCCCACGCATGTTGGCATCCGCAAGCCCTCTGATTTGCAGGATTTTATTTTGACATCCTATGTTCCATCTGGGATTTGGTCTTTCTCTGGGAGGTGGCCCGTCTCTGATGTTCAGCACGGTGTCCTTCCGTAGCATCACTCACCTGGCCGTCCTTCTTTCCTAGTGACCTCGTCAATGGCCTGGTGATGCTCATGAACAGCAACGTCAGCAGCCCTGTCAACCTGGTGAGTGCCCACCCCCCGAACTCCAGCCCCTCACAGGTCAAGTTCCCCAGAGCACCAGCATGATCTGCTTGCCACTAGCCCACCCAGAATATGCATAATTGCTTCCTGCTGCCTACTACAGAAGAACATTTAGACCCCAAGTGAGGCATCTGTAAGAGAAGGACGAAGGATCTGAGGAACACCGAACTATTCCTGTGCATCCAAAGGCCTGGCCCTGGAAATCTGTAGTTTTGATCTGGGAGTAGATAGACTTTTGTTCAGGGTTCATTTCCTTCTTCCGTATAGTGTACCTGTGGCCTAGCTTAGTTGTAAGTAACCTGTCGTCATCAGGGGTCATGGAGACAGTTGGGCAGTTATTTCTTGTCCAACATCTGTGATTCCACTGCACAGCCTCTCGGACTGCTTCTTCCTTCATAGCTTCCTGCCATCCTGAAACCTCCTGATGGGGTGGGGAGATGGTCAGGATGTGTTTGGTGGAGGTGCTCACCCAGCTCTTAACACTTCATGCTGGGGGAACTTGCTTCTCCCCATATTTTGTTCTCTGTCTCTCTAATTCCTACTCACACAAAGATTTTCCTTGCACAAGGAGCTAAAATCTCTGTGCAACTCCCCACTAGCCTGTCTTGTCCTCCTGGGGCTACTTCTGGCCCCTCAAGAGCCACTGTGGCCAGAGAAGTTGCTGGCCTGCCCTAGGATTCCTGCTCTTTTTCCCCTTTGGCCATGACTCCTAAGGAGTTTCATTCCACCACCATGAAATTGTGGGCAGCTGGGGTCGACGTTAGTATTCAGGCACTCTGCTTCCCTGTCCAGAAGACAGCCTTTGTCCGCTGAGCACCAACACTATGCCATCTCCCCCTGTCAGATCTTGCAGCCTCTTAAGATCGGAGCTTCTCCCAGACCCATTTTCTGCTGTGTGATCAGGTTCACAGGCCCTGCCTTGCCTGCCCTGTGTCTAGCCAGCACCTGGCTCTGACCTCTCCTTACATCTCTGTGTTTGTGACCTGAGGCTTGTTTCACAGAATCTGTTTCCACAGAACTGGAAGAGAGTTTCTAGCAGGCAGGAAAGTTAAGTCCCTGGAGCCATCACTCCCCCAGGACAGTTGACACATCCCTGGGGACACGTAGCTTTTAGCACTCATCCAGAGCTGTTCTCATGCGCTTTGGAGAAAAATAAATCCCTTTAAAGCAGAATAACTTGCATCCTGTGAACCTTGATGTATTTTAAGCATTTTCTCCTCTGAAATATTTAGGAAGACCAGTAACTTGTATTTTTGCTGCATGCTCTTTAAAATGTGCATGTTGATCCTGGAGAGATACTACGGTGAGCAGAGACACTTGCATTGCATACAGCCAACCCTAACACCCCGTGGAACACTGAGCCATGCCAAGAGCAAGCCCTAAGCCAGGTGTGGCCCCAAATAAAAGAAAAAAAACAACTAAAATGTTGTCATTGATCTCTCCCAGACAACCCTTCTCTTTTTCTTAGGTACCTATACTTCTTTTTTCTGTTTTTTATTTATGTGGCAGTGGGGGGACGCAGCGGGGTGGGGAGGAGCATTTCTCACAGAAACCCATCTTCCTTGGATCTGATAACTCTGTCTCCCAGGTCCCCTTCAGGTGGAGCCATTTTCTCCCCAATCCCATCAACAGCGCCACTCAGTTTGACCTCATCTTCAGGCTGATCATCATCACACCCATCCCTTCCTGCCTTTTAGCTTCTATCTTCACCCTCAGAGCACAGGAATGAAAAAGGGATTGGAAGCCACTCAGCCTCCATGTTCTATGGTGTCTCTCACAATGGTTGGAGGGAGCATAGCAAAATGAGAGGAGGCAAAGGGACAGTGATTATTGTGACGTGCTCTGGGAAGGAAGGAAGGGGGAAATGATTTTCCTTAAAGCCTCCCAGAAAGTTAGCTCTCATACAGACTGCACTGGGCTATCATCCCAACTTCCTCAGAACTCAGTTGTGGGTTTTTTGGTTTTTTTTTTTTTATCCCTGGCACACCTCTCTGGTGTGGTTTTGCAGTCCTTTGCCATGTGAGTTGTCATTGCAGACACTCAGAGGGAAATATGTTGTCCAGGCAAGCTAACTTTGCACAATTGAACTTGATTGGTTTTTTTTTTTTCTTTACGTGGGTGGAAACATTGGGGAGGGTGCCAGCAGTGCAAGGGAGCAATCCCAGGGACTCACATATATGAAGCATATGCTCTGGACTTTGAAATAGGACCAAACTTTTGTGCAGAATGATTTATTTCAGCAGTATCAGATGCAGAAATTGCCCTGACACCTTTTGCCAGCGAATGTGCCCCTTTTAGATGGTCTTGGTCTACCCTGAGACCATCCTTGTGAATAGATGGGAAAGATAAATCAACACAGGTTTCCTTCCTACCAAAAGTAGGACATCCCTCTTTGGTACATTTTTGGGTCTGGGAATGCTGAAAAGCCCTTCCATTTAGATTAGTGTTCAGAACATTCTGTACCTTTGCATAACAGGGAAAACTGGTCCAGCTTCGTGCTTTGCCATGTTGAGTTATCAGCCCCTCAATCAGTGTCCCCTGAGATGAGATGAATAGGATCTGGGAATGTCAGGCTAACTCATGAACTTCTCTGAAGGCTTGCTTAGGGTCTGGGTGGGACTGAGTAGATCTGTGCTGGCCACACTCATAACCTGAAACCATTTTTTCCTCAGGGGAACCCGGAAGAGCACACGATCCTAGAGTTTGCTCAGTTAATCAAAGGCCTCGTTGGTAAGTGCAACAAGCACCTTTCCAGTAAAGCCTTGACTTGGAAGTGCATCGTTAACATGAGCCAGTTAAATTGGATACAAGGCAGTTCTTTATCAAGTACTTTTTTCCTGATCCCTTGGTCAGGTCACAGGAAGAGATTGGGTGTTGTCACCATTGGTGTTCACAGTTGTGATATGGGTCCGTGGGGTGTGGGAAGAGCGGATATGTTCCCCACAGCTCAGGCACAGAGGCATCCATTGTTGGATTTTCAGGCATGGGTAGTCAGGGAGAAAAGCAGCGTCTGTTGGCGAGTTCATGTCAAAGGTGGTTCTGGGTACCCTTGTTGTGAAATGTGGAAAGAGTGTTGGCCCAGGGACCCCAGTTTAGGCCACGTTCTTAATCCAGAAGATGGTATGTTCTCAGCCCACCTTTGAGTTGCAAATGCATGTTCAGTGAGCCCTTGGTTCAACCAACAGGCCTTCCGGCTCTCAGGCAACTTTCCAGGGTTGCTGGAATTGGAACTAAGACACAGCCTGGACTTGTGGCAGCCAGTGCCCATAATTCTACTTCCAGCAGCTCTGGACCCACAGGGCTTGCTCTTATTCTGGTGTGTGTATGTGTGTGTGTGTGTGTGTGTGTGTGTGTGTGTGTGTGTGGGGTTGGGGGTGGAAAGGGGCCCAGCAGGGCTGTGAGGTCCCTTCCTGCTGGCTCAGGACTGACTCCATGGGAACCCTTTTGTCTGCCACACACTCCTCTGGAGCTAGTCCTGTGTGCCCTGGCATCTTCTTGTAAGACCCGGTGAAGGTTGGTGCATTTCTGCCAATGGGTTCCTGATAGATTGAAACCTGAGTGGCCTGATTGGGGCTTCCAAGTCACAGTGATCAGACCTCGACATGACCTCGTTGACTTTGGAGACCTACTTGAATGTGCAGGGGGCCCACCTGTCCCTTCCCCAGCCTGCTAGGGGACCAGAAGTCCCCACATGGTGTCCGTAAGGTTGTCAGCCAGGGCCCCAGTGCATGGACTCTGTTTGCAGTAGAATGCCACACCCCTCACAGTGCATGATTTTCTCTCTGCTCTTCTTGAACATCTCAGGGAGTGGAAGTGAGATCCAGTTTCTCTCAGAAGCCCAGGATGACCCCCAGAAGAGGAAGCCGGACATTAAAAAGGCGAAGCTGATGCTGGGCTGGGAGCCTGTGGTAAGTAGCGGGTGCCAGGCACGCAGCCTGTTGGGGAAGGGCGGCCCCTACTGCCACACGTGTCCTCATGGCGTCCATCCAGACAAGCCTGACAGCAGCTCTTCTCCAGGCCAACACGCGATCCTCTTTCCATGGATCTCACCTTCTGTCCTGTCTTCACCCTTTGCTGCCCCTTGCCTCCTGCTCCCAGCACGTGTTGAAAGGTCAGGGGCCTGTGTGTCCTGCAACTTCTGAGGAGCCCAATGCTGACACCTAGCAGGGATCTGGGCAACTCAGGTCCATACCACCTTAGGGGGCAGCCCTTTAGGTTCGACTAACACCTGGCCAGGTCACACATGGAGAGCAGTCCGCCAGACCCAAGGACAGTTCACTTTTAAAAATGTCCATAATGGGGCTGGAGCGATAGCACAGCAGGTAGGGCATTTGCCTTGCACGTGGCCAACCCGGGTTCTATTCCCAGCATCCCATATGGTCCCCTGAGCACCGCCAGGAGTAATTCCTGAGTGCAGAGCCAGGAGGAACCCCTGTGCATCACCGGGTGTGACCCAAAAAGAAAAAAAAAGTCCATAATACTGGGTTAGATCCTGGCACCACCTAGAGTCCTCTAACAGAGCTAGGAGTAAGTCCTAAGCACCAGCAGAAGAAGAAAAAAGAAGAAACTAAGAAGAAAAAAATTAATTTAAAATCAAATAAAAATGCCCATAGCAGTAAGCATAGCCAAAAAAAGTTCCCTCAGAGCCCTGTAAGAAGACAAAGTGACAGAGTAATAAGACAAAGGGAAACAGAGAGTTTATTAACATGAAGGGAGGGGGGTGGGCACAAAGACTAAGAGAGTTTGGCTCTCTGTGGGCAGTGGAGGGAGTCCTAAGCCTCCTTTAGGGCACAAACATGATAAGAAGAATGAGAAGTTGAATAGGCTCTTAGAAAGCAGATGGTGACCCAGTTGTTTTGTGACCAGAGATGCCTATTGTCTCCTCTTGTCTGGGACTAACCATCTGTCTTCCTGACTGACCATCAGGAATTCTCTCCCCTAGCTTAGAATTTTTGGTCATGGTGTTTCTTCTGGAGATTTTCCATCTAGAGGTAGATAAGGGGGAATTCAGAAAAAGCTTCTACACGTAATGATTTTTTTCAGGTGCCTTCAGTTCAAAATAACCAATATACCAGAGCAGCAGATAGGGGTGTCGTATCCTGAATCCCTGTGTCATGTATCAGGGTGGCATATTCCATTTCAGGAGCTCAGCAGTTCAGAGACCTCCAGAGCTAAGCTTGCTGAGCTGTGAGTAGCCTTCAAGCCTGTTCCCTGACCTGCCATCAGCAAGTTAAGTGATCTTGTGACAGCTCCAGAAATGTGTGGAATGCAGCAGAGATGGTCAGATTGGTCGTGGTCAGATTGAGCAAAACCTGTATATAAAAATCCCTGCAATCCAAAGCAAGTCACAGCATGCACCAGTCTTAGTTTTGAGAAGGAATCTGTCTTTGTTTTAAATGAAATTTCATGAGCACATTCACTGCGTGTTAACAATTGCTTCTGCATTATGTGAGGTATGTATACAGTGAGTCTTTTTAATTTGACCAGATTTTAAGTTACAATAGACTACCATTCTCTTCCTGGTTTCTCTCTTATTACTATTTTTATACTGTTTCTCTATTAAGATTAATAGTTTAATTTTCAAAAAAAGGTTTTTTAACTTTCATTTGATGCACCTTGAATTACAATATTGCTAAAGATCACACCTTCCACCACTGTCCGCTTCCCTACACCATAATCTCACGGTCCCCTCCCATCCCCAAACATTGTCTGCCCCCCTCAGTCTTGGTAAGTTCAGTTCTCTAGAACCTGTTCTCAGGTTCTCTTGCCTTTTGCCATCTGTTACCCCCAACTATGCTTCTTTGCATCCTGCATAGGAGAGAGATCGTTCTGAATGTCCCTCACCTTCAGGCCGACTTCACTCCACATGATATCCTCTAGTTCCCTGCACATAGCAGCAGATTGTCTGACTTCATCTTTTCTTGCAGCCAAATAGTATTTCATTGTATATGTGTACCAACTACTTCTTTAGCTAGTCATCTGTCCTTGAAAATCTGGCTTGTTTTCAGATCTTGGCTATTGTGAGAAGTGCAGCAATGAAAGACTGTAGCACTGTAGCACTGTCCTCCCTTTGCTCAGCGATTTTCTCGAGCGGGCACCAGTAATGTCTCCTCTGTTAGACTTACTGTTACCGTTTTTGGCATATTGAATACGCCACGGGGAGCTTGCCATGCTCTGCTCTGCAGGCAGGATACTCTTGGTAGCTTGCCGGGCTCTCCAATATGAAAGACAATAGGAGCATAAATTTCTTTTCAAAATACTGTTTTTGTATCCCTAGGGTAGATGCCAAGAAGTGGAATTGCTGAGTCATACGCAAGGTCAACTCTTGCGTTTTTTTTTGAGGAGGGTCCATACTGGCTTTCAGAGTTGAACCAGTAAGCATTCCCACCAGCATTCCACTAGCCGTGGTTGAAGGTTCCTTTTTCCCCCCACATCCAGACCCACCCTGGTTATTTTTGTACCTTTTTTATGTGCTCCAGTCTCACAGGTTTGAGATGGTTTTGATTTGGATACAGAAGCATTGTTGTTTTCATTTGCATACAGAAGAACAGATAAACAAAATGGTACTTCACCAAAGGAAGGTGCATCTGCATCACAAAAGAAATAATGATATGATGATCAGAACAAAAAGATCTCTACAGATTGGGAGAAAATGTTTGCTCTCCTGGCAAAGGGTTAATGTCTAATACATTAGTCACTTGTAAAACTCAAAACAACAAAAAAACATCAAAAATAGGAAGAAGCAACTTCCTCCAAAATGCCTTATAGAGGGCCAATGGGCATATGAAAAAATGCTCTGCATCACTTAAATGTACAGTTTAGGTTGATATACTTTTAAGTTTAGACACATGAAATCATCACCCCGGCCATGACACAGACCATTTTCCTAGTCTGTTGCACCTTAGGCTGTGCTTCACCAGAGAATTTTGCCTTGAATTGGCAGCAGCTAATTTGATTTATATTTCCTGTTGGCTGCAGGACAACTCTCAACCCCAGACTTAAGATTGCACTCTGTGGTAGTGTATGGGGTCCGTCTTGGATTCAGCTTCCTGAACTCAGGTCAATGGGATGGAGATGCACAGGGCACATGTCATGTCAGAGAATGAAGCAGTGAAATACAGACTGCCTTCTCCACACACCTGCCCTCCACCTATGGTAGACTTTAAAACATATGCATGCTCATTCTTTTAAAAAAAAAGTGATTCTTTTTTTTATGTTTGAGTCAAACTGGTATAGACACCAATCATCAAGAGGTAGTGTGGGTTCCTGGGGGTGGTATGGAGCTTTTTTTCTTCTCAGTGTTATTATTTTAATGGAATTCATCAAATTGCACTGAATTTCACAAGCACTTTTGGAAGACAGAGCTCTGACCACCCCTGGCTGGTTGGCTTGGTGCTATCTCCCTCCAGCTACCTTAAGTGCTGACATGTCACTCAACCACACTTTCTCTTTTCACAGGTCCCCCTGGAAGAAGGTTTAAACAAAGCCATTCACTACTTCCGTAAGGAACTCGAGTACCAGGCAAATAATCAGTACATCCCCAAACCAAAGCCCGCAAGAATAAAGAAAGGACGGACACGCCATAGCTGAGAAGCTCACTCCCAGGATAGGAGATGCCCTGGTTCACACTTGATGAGATATATTTTTTATTCTTTTCAGGTTTTTTGTGTTTGTTTGTTTTTTAAAGAAAAAAAAAGACTTCAAAAGGTGTTATGAAGAACAAACTGGAATTTCATTCTGAAGCTTGCTTTAAAGAAATGGATGTGCCTAAAACCACCCCCTTGAAAAACTGCAAATTTTGCCTTGCACTTTTTAAATCTGTGTTTTTATGTAAAATAGTGTAGATGCATCTCTGCATCCTTCCAATTTTTTATCTTGCTGTGAAAGCTGATGTGACTGTCATTGACAGTTTTATTTACTGGTTTCTTTGTGAAGCTGAAAAGGAACATTAAATGGAATGAAAAATGCTGATTTTATTTATAAAAGTGGGTACTTCTAAATGAGACATTATTCCATGTATAAAGGACAACACACACACACACACACACACACATCATAAACTTAGCAGTATTGTCAAGTGGGTAGCGTCACCAACATTTATTCCGTGGGTTGCTGAAAGAGTTGTGTGGGAGAGCTTTATGTTTCTTTAATTCAGAATTTTTCCAGGTCTAGTTTTTAGTTGCCAACTTGACTTTGAAATACTTCTGTTGTCACAATCAAGGATATTTTAAATCACTACTGTGTTGTGCTGCATATGCGGGGGGTGGGGGGAGCAAAGTTAACATATTCTTGGTTAACTGGTTAAATATGCTATTTTAATTATTTTAATAAAATATTGAAATTCACTTTCAGTTTCTTTTTGTTTGGTTTTTCTTTTTCTACAAAACTGTTCATTATAACCCAATCATTGTATGATTGGGTTTCATTCATACAATGTTCTGACACCCATCCCTCCACCAGTGTAATTTCCCAGTACTAGTGTCCCCAGTTTCCCTTTCACCCATCCAAGAACCCCACACACATACACACACCAGCCTCTATGCTAGGCATCTCTCTCTCTCTCTCTCTCTCTCTCTCTCTCTCTCTCTCTCTCTCTCTCTCTCTCTTTCTCTCTCTCTCTCTCTCTCTCTCATTTTTAGGCATTATGGTTTGAAATAGAGATGGTGGAAGGTTATCATGAATATCCCTTTGCCTTCTTTCAACACTCAGTTCCTGTCCAGAGTATTCATTTCCAAGAAATTCACTTTCAGTTCTAAAGGTTGGTTTGGTTTTGCTTGGGCCATTCTTGGACTGCTAAAGGAAATATTAAAGAACTTAATAGAAAGAAGACTTAGGCATACAGAATTCTGTTGTCTGTAATTTGAGTCATTATGCAAAAGCATCTGCCCAAGATCTACATGGTCTGTATGTCGGCTGCAAAGGGGAGATTTGACACAGGAGTGGGATGATCATGTGGCCTTCCTGGCCACACAGGCTGGATAAAGAGAGGGTCTAGATGATCTGGAATTGCAATGGTGCATGTAGTGTCAACTTGGAAAACTTTCTCCTTCATCACACTTTTTTTTAATTTTATTTTTATAGAGTTTTTCATAATTTATTACATTTAATATTTGAACACCAATCCCACCACCATTGCACCTTCCTACCACCGTATTTTGTATTGTTTGTTATAAAAAATCTGCTAAAAATGATGCAAAAAAGTTTCCTAAAGTATATGAAGATTATTGTATTTCCCCTTGGAGCCATTAAGCTATCAGAGATAAGAGATTAGTAATATGTTCTTAAAGGTGCATATATTTTATACAGATATGTATACACACATATGTGTGTGCATATGCCTGGCAAGCTGCCCGTGACGTATTCGATACGCCAAACACAGTAACAACAAGTCTCATGATGGAGACGTTACTGGGCCCGCTCGAGCAAATCGATGAACATCGGGAGAACCATGACCGTGACCATGATATGTACATATGTATATGTATTTCCCCTGAGATTGGATGTCTTTTACTTTAAACTCCACCAAATGTGGTGTGCTTCTCTTGGTACATTACTGGTGTAAAGTAGGACTCATTTGCAAGCACGTGCTCTAGAAATTCCAAAATTTAAAATACAGTCATACAGCATATTCACTCATGGGTGCGGCTCATCCAAGCCTGTGGAGAATGGCTGTGAGCATGGTGGTGATTGAGTTCTGGAGAATTTGGGCTGCCAGGGCTCTGTTGGGGTGGGGAGGGTAACTCACCCATCCCCTCTGGAGTGCCCTGAATGAGGTAGCCCGGAGCAGGGTCTGGAGGCATCTCTGCAGTGCATCATTCCGTATTGCTGTCTCCTGAAAGCTTTATTTCTGAGTCTCTGGATTATGGCTGGTATTGAGATTATATGGCATCAGAGGCAGTTTGTGGGCATGACTGCCAGGCTACCAGAAACAGAGGGAGATATGGGGAAGTCGCCCATTCCCAAATCCATGAGAGCCTGGAGATTTCAGTCACAAGTCCTGTATACCTGGCCTTTTCCACAGATTCACTGATGGGTGAGGCTCTTCTGAGTCTGTAGAGAGTGACCGTGAGCATGGCAGCGATTGGATTCTGGGGATTTGGGGCTGCCAGGGCTCTGTTAGGGGCAGGAGCGGAACTCACCCACCCACTTTAGGTTGCCCCAGATGAGACAGCCTGGTGCCAGATTTGGAGGCATCAATGCAGCTTGTCATTCTATGTTGCTGTTCTCTGAGAGCTTTATTTTTTCCATCACAATTCTTTTAAGAATGATTTAGTGTTGGGCTGGAGCCATAGCACAGCGGGTAGGTCATTTGCCTTGCACGTGGCTGACCTGGGTTCAAGTCCCAGCATCCCATATGGTCTCTCAAGCACTGCCAGTAGTAATTCCTGAGTGCAGAGCCAGGAGTAACCCCTGACTATCACTGGATGTGACCCAAAAGGCAAAAAAATAAAATAAGAATGATTTAGTGTGAAGATTTTGTTTCCCCCTCCTTCATGACAAATGAAAGAACAACATAGCTAAAGCAACACATTTTCCAAGGAAACTGGTTTTATATGACCTTGAAGAAACATCAAGGGTTAAAGCATCCATTGGACAATATTTGTTTCAGCAATCAAGGTCAGGTATATTTGTCTGTCTTTCAAATTCACTATGGTCTTGTTTGGGTGTTTTTCCCCAACTGGACATTTTTTCCAGTCTGAATCTCTGAACCAAGAAGAATGCCATGGCTTTGTTTTTGGTTTTTCTTTCTTTTTTTTTTTGTAGTTTTTGTTTGTTTTGTTTTTTATGCTGAATTACCCAAAAGACTCTAAAATCAGGGCAACAGTGCCTATGGGTTGGTAGTGCTAGATTGGACACAATACATGAGAGAGAATACTAAGGGATTTTTAAAAAGAAATGTGAAGAAGGCCAGAGAGATAGTATAGAGTGCAAGGCATTTGTGTTGCATGATGCTGACCCTGGTTCCCAGCACTATATATATATATATATATATATATATGTATACATATATATATACATATATATATATATATATATGTTTTCCCCCTAAGGACCATGCAGCTCTTTAATTGCTATGTCAAATCATTTCACCTCCACCAAAAGAGAAGGAATGTGAGTTCTGCTTTTGAAGTTACATTTTATTGATTAACATTTTGTTTATAATGCTATGAAATTTCAGGTGATTAGCTTCACTCTGGGTACCCCCCACCAAGATCCAGTGCTGATGAGCTATCAAAGTGCCTTCTGTCTCCATTCTTCCCACCCACCATTTTGTTCAGCCTAAGATTTTCTTTTGTTTTTGTTTTGCAGTTCATTGGCAAAAACCACAAATATTCTACCTCAGATTGCAACCATCTGCTTCCTGACTTACTTCACTTAATATATTTAATCACCTCACATTCCATCCATATTGTCATGAATGTCATGCATTTTATTATTTTAAGTACCTGAGGAAAGCTCCATTGACTATGCAAACCACACCTTCCTTTTTTTTTCAACTCTTTATTTATTTATTTTGAATACCCATCCCTCACCAGTGCCCATTTCTCACCACCACGGATCCCAGTATCCCTCCCACCACCCATCCCCCCTAGGCCCCCCATCCCACCGTGCCTCTGTGGGAGGGCATTCCCCTCTGTTCTCTCCTTTTGGCAAACCACACCTTCTTAATACAGTCATTTGCTGGTCAGCATTTAGGCTGATTCCAAATTTTAGCTAATGTGAGTAGTCAGGCCAACTGTGGTACATAGTTCTCAAAGATGGATTCTTCTCTTTTATTGCCATTCTTTTGGCCAGAACTAAGTGACTAGCAGTTTACTAAGAGGGGAGGAACTGATGTGAGATGTTGTTGGGAACTGTAAAAGGCAATCTCTGATTCCAAGGAAAGAAACTTGACACAGGAAGTTTAGTGAAACAGTGCAGTTCCAGAACACCCAAAAGCCTCAAGACCCAGAATATTCATAAAATATTTTCAGGAAACAATAGACGATCGAGTATCTAATTTATTCTGAATAAGGTAATCCGGCTTATCAAATGTAGCCTGCCCACAGGGCAGAGTCTGGCAAACTCCCCGTGGCGTACCAAATATGCCAAATACCAGTAACAATGATGGGTCTCATTCTCCTAAAGAGCCTTGAATATAATCTCAGGGCTAGGATGAAAGAGACGTTACTGGGGCCTGCTCGAGGCAATCGACAAATAGCAGGATGATGAAATGAAATGAAAAAGTAATCCGGATCTGGGGAGGTGGCACAGGTATTTCCACTTACCCTGGTTCCACATGCAATCCTGTGCGCTGGTGGGGTGTCCCTGGGGAGCCCTGATCACCACATCCTCCAGCCCTAGCATTGACCCATTCAGCTGGCTGGTCAAGTATCCCCTTAGCCTTCCATTCCTCAAACAAGAAAGGGGTGATGCATCCTGGGGAAAAAAAAAAACCCTTTTGATTGAAGCTCTTGGGGAAAGAGCCTAGAGAGGGATGGGGTAGTGAGCAGACGCTGGTGTCCTTGCGTTTGTATTGGCTTCTGATCCAGGGCTTGTGTCTGTTGCATGCAATGAATGAAAAGACCAAGCACAGTTGTCTCAGGCACAGTGAAATTGAATTTCACACACCCTTCCCAAGTGCATGCATTTTTCAGCCTAACCCACTCTGGGCCCTGCTAGAGTCTTCACCTGCTGTT